GTGTAAATAAAACCTGCAAATATCTACGTCAAGTATTGGTACCATTGTAAAATTTTTACAATTTTTCAACATTTTAATTTTATGAAGTTCATAATGACATTAAATATTTGTATTACTAATAATGGTAATGAAGAAATGTGATTTGTGACTTGCATTTTTATAAAAATTAATTAATACAAGGAAATGATATTCGGTAAATATGTAAGTAATTTTAACTATTAGCATTGAAAACTTATAATAATCACTGTTTTAAATTTAGTAATTTAGAAAATTTAATAATTAAAAAAGTAATAAAAACCAAAAGGATAAATATTTTGGTGCTATTTATGCACCAAAATACATGACCATTTATGCCAGAAATAACAGGGCCTTTTGAGTGCATAAATTTAAACATTAAATTCAAATTCGTATGTTTTGGTAATCAAAAATGATATAACATAAAAATTTTAATTATTTTGTTATTTGATAAAAAGTTTTAATTGCATACTAAAAACAACAAATTATTTATTCGTGTTTTGTAAACAATTCCGTAAAAGAATTTAAAAAAGTTATTCTGATTTACGCTCAAAAATACGTTGTCTTTTTGTCCATTTTTAAATATATATAAGTAAATAATTGGCATTCAAATAGCATTTTTCCCATTATTTTTTCAATTCAAATTTCACGTATAACATTTTTTAAGTCATAAATTTGTATACAAAAAAAAATTATTTTTTGAAAATTAGACAATGTTAGAAATGGATTTGCTTTGAATGAATTTGACGTTATTTATTACCACACAATTAATTTTTATTCGCAAAATTTTTTAAAGAATCACTAATATTCTATATGATTTTGTCCTAATTTGTAGGCAAAATATATGCCATTTTTTATACTTTTTAGTTTTGCAATATTAAATTGGAAAATAAGTGCAAAAAATTATTAACTCTAAAAACACAATTAGTTTTTTTATTATTAATTAAAGTTTTTTGCTTACAATATTTTGCATAATTATTTTGCAATTCAAAACTTGAATTTGAAAATTTCAGTTGATATTGTCAATTAAGGAAATCTTAATAATTATTTCTACAAAAAGCTTTATGATAACATTTTTTTAAAAGCAAAAAAAATTTTAACCGTCAAATAAAATATTGTATTATATAATCAGAAATAGATTCACATGAATAATTATGATATTGGAAAATAAAAGTGCTGTAAGCATAAATAAGTATATTATTATACATGTGACGTGAAAAAGTTACGTGAAAAATTCTGAAGTATTAATTATTTTTTTTGAAAATTCAAACAATTCGCATTCACGTTTTTCTTTAAACAGTCAACTTTTTCTTGTAATCTCGTTTGTATTATTTTTGAATATACAATTTACATTTTAATCAGCTGAGCATTTTTACATCTTCAATAAACTTAACTGAACAAATGAACAAATTTCATGCTTACTAAGCAACTAAATATCTTAAGAATAATTTATCTTTGACAAAAATTCAGTTATCAAAAATTTTTTACATAAAAATAAAAAACTAAAAAATTGGAATATTTTAGATATTTTTATAATTTGTTGAATTCTAATTTTTATTTAATATTAAAAAAGTTCTTCTGTTTGCTAAAAATAAAATTAATATGGCTGTACTCAGCAGCTTACAAAACAATTAATTTTCAATGCATTTAAGTAAACAAAATTCAAGTATGATATTTTTTAGTAAAAAAACTGATAAATCAAATTTTGAAGCGGGAAAAGTTAACAAAACTATCTTTAAAAAAGTGCCTTCTTTGATGAAAGAAAGTTTTACAATTGATAAGAGCTGTTAAATCAAGAAAATAAACATTTTTCAATCTAAATTTTAATTTTTAGATGCCTTTCAAAATTGTAATTCGAGTTTTCAAATTCCAATTATTCCGTTTTCACTCATGTTTTGAATTTAATTATTTTTAAATAACCCATTTACCTATAATTAATAACAGCTCCTCATAGAGTATTGACATTATTCAAAAATAGAAAATGAAAATATTACACAAATTATTACCATAAAATGACAAAATAAATCTTACTCAAAGCTTTGCTCTTTTCATTTACTCACTCATAAAAGTAAACAATTATAAGTTTTTGTTTGAAAAAAGCAAAAAATATTGTAGTTAATAAATAATATTCAAAGTGGAAAAGTGTTGCAATAATAAAACCCGAAATAATACTTTATTTTATTTACTGAAAAAATACAAATATTAAACTAAAAAAATCTTTGATATGTGACAAAAATTTGCATTTTGATTTATTATTAAAAATAATATTAATTTGAATTATTGCTAAATGCTTCTTCTTGTAGACAAATCTCGACTGAGCTTGAAGTCATTATCAGTCTGGAAAATAGCATTTATACAAGGTGAAGGTGATTCTCTTCTTAGTACTGAGCTTGATGGTTCAGCTACACTTTCAACTATAGATTCATTAACTGGTAATGAATATACTGGTGTACATAATTCAGCAATATTTTCTTCTCTTGTACTACAACTTATTTCAGATTCATTCGGTGATCGCTCATCGGTAGTTATCGATTCGTCTACTTCTACACTACTTTCTTCTTCTAATGGTGTTCTAAAATTTTTATCAAATTTATACAAAATAAATATAAAATTGCGATTTTTTTTAAAACAAAAATTTGAAAAATTACCTGATAAAAGCTGGTAATTTAATTGCATCTTCGTAATTTGGCAAAGGTGGTAAGTCGTTATCACGTCGACGTGTCCTTCCTGAGAAAATTTTTTTTCATAAATATCAAATAACTTTTTAGAAATTTTATAAAAACTTCATTAGATAATGCAGATTATTATCACGTAGTGACAAAATTATAAAAAAACTAATACACATAGCAATATACCTCTTTGAGAAGTAATTACGTAAGGTGGAGGGCCTTCGTTACGGAATGGAATAACTTGGAATGAAAGATAATTGGAATCTTCCCGAATTATACGACGTGGATTGAATTCCATTGCTGAGCGTAATACGGCTTCACGTCTAAAAGCTGTCACTCGATTTTGAACCTAAAACTATCTCTTCTGCAAAATGTAATGCAATCTTCTTTTTTTGCATGGAATAAAGTTTTTTTATTAATGGAATAGAAAAATTAGTAATTTGGCACAGCATTCAAGTAAGAATTAAATTGCTTCATTTTATATGACTTATTGATTTCCACTTACTTATAAAAGTAAAAGTAAAAGTAAAATGAAGAATTGAATTTAAACACCGCACCAAAATTTCATTAATTATAATTATTTCTGTTTGATAAACAAGGAATTCATTAAAGCTGAAGGTCATTAATTTATTACTGAGTATTCTAACTTTTACAAATCCAAAATAAAAATGATACTTTTTCATTTTTTATCATTGTTAACATAATAATATCATAGAAAGAATATTATTTACAATTTAAATATCATTTAATTATCAATTAATATTATTTTTATTATTACTCTGTGAATTACACATTTTCTGCCATAATAATTTTATTGTACTAAATTTATTGTTTTGAAAAAACTTTTGTCATTTGTACTTTCGCACTTTTAACTTAAGGAAATAATTTGTTAAATTGTTAAAAATTGTACAGTTCAACAGATAAAACCATGCTTAAATAAACACTTTATATGCAAATTTGTTGTATTTTCAGTTTTATATGCAAATTTGTTATACTGTCAATTTTATATGCAAATTTATTATATTTTCAGCCTTATATGCAAATGAAGAACAAACCTGCATTCTGTGTTTCATTAATAAATACATAGAAAGAACGAGAACTAATATCATCACTACACTAAAAATAGTACTGGAAATATCTCGACTAAACAAGTCACTGTCTTGATAAACTGCCTGAAAATTTAAAAATTAATAACTACAAATTAATAATTATATATCTTTTAATAATTTAAAAAGTTAATTATTAAGGAAAGTATAATCTTAATTTGTAATTTAATAACAAAATTAATTACAAAATGATAAACGAAAATTTTACTATTATCTTTATTTCATTCTTGTTTATTTTATTCTAAAATATTATAATTCCAAATAAATTCTATGCTTTTTCTTTATTCAATCTTTTTTATTCATATGTTTATTCTAATTTTACGATAATAAAATAAATATAATTATTAAATGAAACAAATTATTGATTAAATGATTAGAATTTACTTATGTTAATTATTTGTTCTTTATTATACTGGGATATAAATGTTTAATAAAGTAAATTAATTACGTCACAATTTATTAGTCTAATTAAAATTAATTAATAAAAAAATAAAAAATAATAAAAATTTTTATAAATAAAAAATGATAGTTTTTTTTAACGCAAAAATAAAACATTTTTACTGTCATAAACTCATAAAAACCTTAATAAAATATATGACTTTAGTTGCAAATAAAATATATTTCTTTTTTTTTGTTTTCTTTGCATGGAATTAATTAAATTATCAATAATTATTGCTATAAAAATATTATTTTCATTAATTTTTTTTGGTTTTCATTTTACAAATTAATAAAGATTTATTCAAAAAGCATAACTGTCTAATACAATAATTCAATTCAAAAAATATAAATTCATTCAAAAACATGTTTTAATGTGGCAAATTACTGGAAAACTGGTATAATAAATAAACCTGTTCTTCGTAACCGTGAAATCTTGATACAACTGAAGTGTGATTAGCATCAATCTCGCAGTGATAACCAAAAAAATTTGGTGGACATCGACATCGTCGCCGTACCTCAGTACCACCGTTTAAGCATACCATATCTCGACACTCTTCGCCTACATAAAACGGTATGCAAGCACAATAATATCGTCCGTCTGCGCCTAAAAATGCAAATTTTCTATTTTATGAATAAAACATTAAAAAGTTTTTAGCTGTAATTAGTAAAATTAAAGTTTATTATTTTTCAAACATAATTTTGTTCACAATTTTAATTATAAGAAAGTAGTAGAAAAATGAGTTCTTTAATGAGTTTTTTAATATTTTGCATAAAATTTTATGAAGAGTAACATTTAAATAAATACAAATAATAAAGCCATATTAAATATGAATTATTTGCATTAGCAAAAAATTTATGATTATTATTTGTATAAGTTATTCAAGTAATTAATTCAAATTTATGCTGATATAAAGTACTTTACTTATTTCACAGTAATAAAAGTCAAGAGTGTATTACAATAAAACCAGTACTGTTCATAAATGTTTCACACAAATGCAAAAATATAAAAATAGATAAATTTTTTTGACATCATCATAGAAATTTATACAATCAATCATCTGCTTCACTTTTCAGATTCTTTTTACGTAAGAGAAATTTTCTATTTAGGTAAATTTCTTGGAAATAAAATTAAGTATTGTAATTTTTTCTTGTATGACTTTGCTAAAATAAACTTTTTTATTTTTATTTTAAGAAAAGAACAAAACTTTTATACTAAATAAAATTAGCATATGATATGCAAATAATCTATGTATTTGTATTATGAAAAATAATAAGTATGCATAAATTTATAAAGCTTACCTTTGATACGTTCACCTTGATCACAATATTTTCCACAATGATCTCCAAAATATGGCTCAGGACAAATACATAGTAAATTAGAATTACGAGAACGATGACCTTTATTAAGACAAGGCTTTAGAGGTCGACAACTTTTATCCAAATTTTGACTATTGGAGGCATCTAAATGATACAAACTTTTGTAGCAAAAAAATAATTTATTGAAGACACGAAAGTCTTGAGATTATTTGAAAAATTTCATATTTAATATTTTATTTTTTTAGCATTAAAATTTTTTTTTTGATTATAAAACTTTGTATATTTAAAACGAATGACTTTATAACACAAAAGCAACAACTAGTAAATCAAAATTAATACATATTTTTGCAATAAAATTTCATATTTTGTATTTTTTGTATCTAAGTCTTATTTTTTAGCAAAGAAAATTAATTATTATCATATTGAAATTCCACGTACTAACTTGGACATTTACACTTGACATTAATGCCACTAAAATCATCAAGCGTAAAAAGTGCAGAAGCTGATAATAGATAATTTCCGTGATATACACGGCAACTGGATAAGGCTATCTCACGTCGGCGTGTATCGTTTTTGCTATCAGTGAGAATATCGTCCTCACTAGTGTGATCACTGATAAGATGATTTGATTCTTGTAGAGTCCAATTTCGTATCATCTGATAATTTATTTATGAAACTTCAGCAGCATATATATATATATATATATATATCAAATATTATACATAATATACCACAAAACTGTAATTTACTTACTTGTGGATTCTGTGGTACTGGATGACCTCCAAAACAGCAAATAATTCGGAAAGGACGTGGTAGCCACAATGCAGCTTTTGTTCGTCTTCTTGTCAGATTATTTTCTATAAAGTTATTTCGAATTATATTTAAAATATTTCAGGCAAAGTAGTAAATAAATATATCACTTTTTTCTAACAGAAATCTGATACTCACTTTTTTTGTAAATCTTAACTTGAAAATGTCTATGATGTTACTAAGTTTTAATCTTTGGCTAAAAATTTTTCTCTATAAAAAAGAAATTATTTTACGAGTTATCAGTAACAAAAGTTATCAGTTAAATTTATCATTCAAATGTTAAGCAAATAAAAACGAAAAATATAAAATTAAATAATCAAAAAAGGACTAAATTATTTAAAAATTATATTAAAATATTTAATTTTCAATATTAAAAACATGCGAAAATATCAATATTTTGAAGTGATTTAATACAAATTAAAACGCATAAAAATGTTTTACTCAATTATAGATAAAATAACAACAATAAATAATAGAAGTAGTAATAGTAATTAAAATTTATTACCTCAAATTACTTAATTTTCATTGGTTTTTAACAGATCACATGTAAAGTAAACGTTTCTTCAAAAATCAAAAGTTAAATTTACTCTCATAAAACTTTTAATTTGATCAGTAAATCCATTTGTTTGTATTTTTCACTGTATTTTTGCATTTTTTACACGGAAATTAAAAACAATTGAACAATACAAACCAAAATTGTCAGCAGTAATCGCAAAAATTAATGCAAAATTTAATAATTTGATCAGCATTGTTGTAATCAGTATTCAAAGAATTAAGCATTAGAAAACATATGATAAGACTCTGTTGATCAAAATTCATTGGTCCATTGAAAACTAAAATATTTTATCACAAAATTAATTATATTACAAGAAAGTCTGCAATATTAATAATTATTATTAAGCAAATATTAAAGATAATTAATAGTGATAAACTTTGAGCTAATACTACACAAGTAATTCAGTTATCAGTTAAATTACATATGATTTGTATTACTTCTTAAATCAATCACCTAAACATACAACAGATGCAATGCTCCATCTGTTCTTAATTTTTTATTCAAAAATTTATTTCAGCGAAAATTTTACCTTCAACTAAATGACTTTCTGCTCACGTAAAGACGCTAATTTCCGTTAATCATCGCAAGTACTTTCGTATTTTATG